ATTAATCTTTGAAATAATCACTTTTGTTCATATTAGAACTCTAATTTCCTTCGAAGTCAGAGCGCATCTGCCTGAGAGGCAAGGAACCAGCAGTCTGCATTTAAATGAGTCAGATCTGTAAAATGGATGCACACGCAACACTCAGGTTCTGGAACAGGACTGCAGTCCAGAAGTGGATGAACAACCAGAACTTTTATAGCTAGTGAAGAAAAGAAGAAGAAGAACTCCAATGAGATTACTGAAAGCCCATTCTAATTTATCATTCTTACTTTATCTCTCGCTTCTTGGCAAGTTCATTCAGGGAAATAGTCACAACTGGCCATAGTGATCCTAGCACCCACACAGATATATGCACATCAGCCAAATGTAGTGGGGATCCAAAGAATGAGTGCCTTGTGTAGACGTCTGCCACAGCAAAGATTAGCTGCAGTACTAACCTGTTTAAGTGTTTTGAAGACTGATGGTTAAGGACTAGGCACTGATAAAACACACACACCTATTCTGCTTAGACAATCTGTTTAAAGGTACATGTCATATTCCCACCTTTTAACAATTTTGTTTTTTAAATCTTAGCTTCTATCTTACTATTTGGATACTAAATGATTTTTCTGAGGCAAAAACATATTTAAAATACAATGTAATTTTTTATTTTTATTTTGTTTAAAGTGTATAAACATTTTTTTGTTTTAAAGCGCTGTAAATTTTTTAATAAATTTATTTTGCCTACAGCCTAAGTAGAAAACTGAAACCTAGAATAAAACAATACAAATTAGCATTTAGGTGTAAAAGCTTCTGATTAACTTTTTATAGTTATTGAAATTATCTCAACATTTATAAATGAAAAATACACCAGAGAGCAAGAAATGTGAAGTCATCTTCATAAACAACAGTTGCTAAAACACAATAACAAAAAATATAAAGTTGAGACGATTAGCATCTTTGCACCAGATATTATCCTATTTGGCTCAGTCTCTCTGCAGAACAACTAGCTGTCTGCTGAGAGTGTGGAACAAAACATGAATTCCAAAGCTTCAGTTAGGATCCTTGAAAAAACTTGTTAACTTTTTCTGTCCTAAAGAGCGCATCATACGTTCATAGGACCTACCTAAATGCGGCGTCCGTGGCTAAGGCGTAGCGGGTAAGCCAGCATACCGCGATCGAAACCCACTGCAGGCTGCGTGGATTTGTGTCGTGGTATGGGGACGTCGCAGGTCGACCCAGCCTAAAATGGGTTCCAGGATGGGCTGTCCTGGGAAAGTAAAGACAGCCGGCGTAATGCTGACCACATTACCCACCGAGTGCTGATGGTCTGTAAAAATATGGGACGCTCTGCCCATATGCCCGATGCGCCGAAAGGCGTGAAAAGGGAACTTTACTTTACTTTACTTACCTACAAGCCCAATGAATGCAAGAAGCACCGATTTTACATCTCTCTTTACTACCCCTTGGGCTTCTGTTGCTAAGCTACCTGGGACTAAGAGAGTTCAGAGAATACAGAAGCAAACCCACTTCAGAGTGGGTAGAGGCACACAGATTTAGCATCTAGCCATGGAAACCTCCACATAAATACTAAAACAATTAGTAGAATATCTCCTTTTTACAGGAATATCTATAAATGCTGTAACATAAAGTTAAAAACAACAGCTATTACAACACAACTACATTTCAACCACAAGAAGCAGACATTTTAAATTGAGTATTTAAAAATCAAAAAGCAATAGTTTCAAGTTTAGTTAAGGCTACCACAAGTTTCTGAATACTTTGCACCAAATGTTTTGTAAATTTATTTTCCTTCTGCTTTTAACCTCTAATGCAGCAGCACAGGTCATCAGTCAAATATTGCTAAGTCTTTGTTGACTGGTTCATGGTTGGATATTGCAGCCAAAGGTAGCCACTCTCAGCCAGGCCTTCTTAGTTCCCTCAGGAACCAACAGTCTGCAAACAAATAAGTCAGATCTGTAGAAGGCATAATTCAGGTTCTGGAATAAGACCAAAGTCCAAAAGTGGATGAACAACCAGAACTTTCTGCTGGAGTTAACAGCCAGTGAATGCGAAGAAGAAGAAGAAGAAGAAGAAGAAGAAGAAGAAGAAGAAGAAGAAGAAGAAGAAGAAGAAGAAGAAGAGAGATTACTTGATTATTAATGTGTCGCAAATAAAAGAAAATACTCACAACACTCCTGCGGTGATAGACCACGCCAGATTTTTGAATGGTAGACGCTGCCAAAGGTGGTCTTGCCAATGGACTAGACTCATTGAAATGGCCACTGAGTAGTCAACAATAATATATGTTAAATGTATTAGTAACTTTTATGTTTGCATAAGACATGTAATTTTATACATGAAGGTTAGAAACTGCGATCTAGAAAATAAAGCTTTAGAAAGTGCAATCTATAAAATAATGCTTTCCTTAGGTAGAAAACAATGTACTTATCAGTCTATGGACACACGAAATAATCACAGAATGACTTCACAAGACATGACATTTCTTACCCAGAAAAATCACAAGATAAAGACTGAAAATATTCTGGGCCAGCACAAGTCCTCCTTGAAACTTCTGACTCCAAGATGTATATCGTATACGACTACCATTGTGATCATACTCATACCTGGTCAAATGAACAAATATAATGTTAAAATAAACTTGAAATTTAGTGAGCTTCTTAAATGGTGAAAGTTTATAACTCAAGTTATAGTTACACATTTTTGGTTTAAAAAAAACATGTAGCCCTTTCACCCCCAAAAGCCTAAAACCTGACACTTTCAGTTTGTGCCACATTCCTGTAAATGTCCCAATTCCGGCTTACTATGTTTACAAGTAGCCCTGATATAAGCACTGCTTCCACCTTTCTGGGCAAACTTTTCGGAATGATTGTTAACATGCATAGTTTCTAAAAACTACAAATAGGTGGGGTTTACGGAACATGGCTTATAGAAATTTGGACATCAGAATTTCCGGTTAGTTACAATGGCAACTATTGGCCAGGTCAAAAAAGGGTCAGGCAAAACAATTTGTTAGAGCTTAGAGAGATGTAACCTAGGCAAAGATCTGCATCATTTGTGTTGATTGATTACTGCTATTATCTAGTATGCCATTAAATACTGTTTTGGTCCATAAATGGAACTGCTATGATTTTATTTTTGTGATCTGTGGAAAAATCTTTTTTTCGGGTCTTTGGCAGTATATTTTTTCCTAGGTCAACAGGGTGAAAAGATGAAAACTTGGATACAAATGGGCAAATCCATTTATTGTTCACACCAAAAAGACGGCATCTTAGTGAAAAAAAAATTCACACCTAACATTCAGCAGAATAGCGAGAAATTATTTTGAAGCTGTAAAGATGTGGTGTTTATAAAAGATCCATGGAAACACTATGGTCAGATGGCAAGATTATTAATAATGTCTGGAAAGAAATTAACCAATAAACAGAACTGGTTCCCAGTATTGAAAAAAAAAATCAGGCTATCCATATTATTTGGACAGAGGACAGCTAACTGACATAATCAAAAATGTAATGAAATCATCTGTAATTCTTCATCTTCCTAAATTTCAGACATAAGATCCACTTCATCATTAGATTATTTTTTACTACACCTTGTGTCTTTTGCTGAGGCACACCTCAGTGGGTTTTCCCAGAGGCCTATAAAGTCAACTATAATCTTCTTTTAAGGATTCCTAGCCCTTGAGGGTCATGACTGCAGATATCACTGGCCTCCACTCATCTCTTTGATTGGCGGCTTTCTCATTCCAGTTGGTGAAACCAAGTGATTAGTAAGGATTATCATCACAGCACTCCAGACAGATTCATAGGTACTCCGATCTCCTCCTCAAAAGTTCAACAAGTCTAAAACGACTGATGACGCCTGTCCTATGTTGGTTGATGAAACATCTTGTCTTGGTGAGACTAAGTATTTACAGGTGTGTATCTACTATGTTGGGAGTCACCGTGGCCGAGCAGCTAGACGCTCGCCGCGGATCGGAAGGTCATTTGTTGGCTCCCTGGTGGAGCCGGACTTTTTTCAAAAAAATGACCTTGGCTCCTAGGTCGACCCAGCTTTGAGTGGGTACCGGGTGCAGTCCCGGGAAAGTAAAGGCAGCCGGCGTGATACTGACCACATCACCCATCTTGTGCCGATTGGTCTATAAAAATATAGGTCTAGCCCTGTATGCCTTAAGGCGTGGGAAAGGGTCCTTTACTTTTTTTTTTTTAAACTTTTCTACTATGTTCTTGGTCTGTTTTAGTCTACTCCTATTCAACACTATTGTCTATGTAGTTTCTGTCTCTCCGTTATCTCCCATTCTATCTATACACTCCAACCATCACAGACTATTAGACATCATGATGCCAAAAGTTAGTGGTAATTTCAGCAGATCATGAACTTCATTGTCACCTTTCTCACTCTATACTCTCCACTGTTTGCGACTGTGGGTGTCCAGCAAATTTGTTGTAAGACCGTTCTCAAAAGTTTATAATAAGGCGCATCTATTTTGGCTGTAGTCCAGGTTTCAGAACCATACTGGTCTAACCAGTGTTCTATATACTGTGATCATTGTGTTATGAGAGAGACAATTTGATTTTAGCAAATCTTTTTCTTCTTCGCGTTCACCAGCTGTAAACTCTGGCGGAAAGTTCTGGTTGTTCATCCACTTTTGGACTACAGTCCTGTTCCGGAACCTGAGTTTTGTGTGTGCATCCGTTTTACAGATCTGACTCATTTGTATGCAGACTGCTGGTTCCTTGCCTCTCAGGCAGATGCACACCGACTTTGAAGGAAGCTTCCAATTAGTTGACTCTTACGACATGCTTTTTGGGTAGGCAGTGGGTCTATTCTTGTTTTCACTATAATAGGACCCCAGAACCCACACAGAACATTTTAGCAAATGTTGTAGGCCTTAATATACCTTAAATCCAAACTATGGATACTCCCCTTTAGAGGCACTGTTGCCATTGCCAGGCACTTGATGAAGATGATGGTTTAAACAACAAACAGACCAAACTTACCTAAAATCATACAGCAGACACTTTCCTGTGGGAATGCTTTCACAGAAAGAGTGAAGAACCACAGCAAAACTAACAACAGCAACAATGATGGACGGAAGAAAGCGGGTGCAAAACTGCACAAAAAACTCGACTATAATCTGAAATGCACCATAAAAAACAAAAAGTGTTGGATACCAATAATTTTCTAGAAAATGGATACAGGTACATTTTTTTTTAAAGAAAATGTTAGATATTTGTGACTAGTTTTCCAGAAAATATTAGATACTTATGAATCACCAGAGCCAGTACACACTTGCCTTGCACTGTTTGATCTCACACCTGCTAGGCAAGCTTTCATTCATCTACATTAATGTCCACTAATATATGCATCTGCCTCTTTGTCCAGGATGGCTGTCCTGGGGAAGTAAAGACGGCCGGCGTAATGCTGACCACATTACCCACCGAGTGCCGATTGGTCTGTAAAAAAATATGGGACGCTCTGCCCATATGCCCAATGCGCCGAAAGGCGTGAAAAGGGATCTTTTTACTTTGTCTGATAAGAATGTCATTTTGAGTTATTCCTCCTGTTACTTTTAAGAATGTCAGCTTATGGGCTAGTCAACTTTCATTCAAACCATTACAGACAGACTATTAAGACAGACAGATGAGGAAGACAAATAAGACTGATAGACAGATAGTTATACAGAGAGGTAGACAGAGTTGTAAAGACAAATGGAAAGATAGGTAGACAAACAGATAGGCAGGCAGGTAGACAGACAGATAGATAAACAGACCAGCAGATATAGATATACAGACCAGCAGACAGAAATTATCAACAGATAGGCAAGCAACAAAAAAGTCACAAAATGACTGACCTGTTTGTTGATGTGATTAATGTTCTTGTGTGTTGCCATTCCCACAGTCCTGGCCTCATTAGGATTGGCCATGAGAGAGAGGCTCAATGCTGGGACCACCACCACAACCAGCCACAGCACATGCTGGACTGTCAGTGCTGGAGGTAGAAGCAGCAAGCAGCAGACTAGTTGGGCCAGGACAACCGCCAGCAGGCAGCTCAGCAACAGATAGAAGCAGTTCCTCATGGCAAAGATGTAATGTCTCGACTGTACCCAGTGAAACAATTGGAAATATTTATTATTAACTCTTTGAGTCCCAGGGGGTTTAGCATCACAGGCCTAGGTGGTAGTAAAGAAAAGTAATAAAATCGGCGCATCATGCGTTCATTGGGCTTCTAGGTAGGAACCTATGAACATATGATGCGTTCCTTGGGACTCAAAAGAGTTAAAGAACTAATGTTGACTTATTTTTCTGCACTTTATACCTCCATGAAACATCAACCCTCAAACTCCTTCTATTGGCAGTTGACCTACTGTGTTGTGGTGTACATCTAGGCTGTAATATCTGCAGCCTTTTAGTCTAACACAGCCAGTAAGGGCAAATCCTTAATAAGTCACTTGTTACAAACTGTTTGTTAAGGAACGGTGGGTCTATTCTTTTCTTCCCCCAAAAATAGGAGAGGTTCTCGAATAACTCATGATGTTGTACTAGGGAAGGGTATCTTTTTTTCTTCTTTAATCAAATAATGAATTAAATAGAATTTTAGCAATTCTTCATTATGATCATGGATGTTTGTATCTTGTACACTCAACATATGTTTAAAGTTGAGAGAATTTACTTCATGGCACCATATCTGATACTGTATGGCTCTCTCTCTTTCTGTAGATCAGCTAGCCACCTGCCAAGAGCATTGCACAAAGCACAAACTCTAGCTTAAACACAATTCCCATGGATCTTCATAAAAAAGTAAACTGATAAACTAAACGATGCAGTCAGTGAAATAAACCCACGAGCTTCACAGTATGAGGCCAAGTGCTTGACCACTTAGCCACAAATATACCCAGCATTCAACAAAGAGAGCACACAAAATATGCACATGCAAAAATTATAAACTGCATTAAATATAAATTGTCTTTATTATTAGCTGGGAGAAATTGCTTCCCTTATAATAAACATTATCATCCCCATGTGGCATGCAATTTTTAGTTATTTTGAAGCCCCACCCTAGCTTTTGTCGGGTACCACATTATACAGCGGGGCCTTAAATATGGCCTGACAGCTGAACAGGGTTTCCGGGACCTCTCCATGGGTGATTCTCATCAGCATAGTGGCACTTTATGTCACCGTGTGTTTATTGCTTGTGTGATGTCCTGGTGGGGTACAACTTACCTACCTACCTCCCTTATAATCATTACATTACTGTCCCAATGTGGGACACAATTTTTCATTATTTTAAGGCCCCATCCGGGCTGTAATAGGGAGCCCTAATATAACCTAGCAGTTGAACAGGGTTTCTAGGACTTTGTGTTGCCGGGTATAGGTCGCTCACTGCACAGTCCTGGTAGGGTTGAATGAAAAACTCTTATAAGGTGTATTAAATATAAATTGCCTCCATTTCAAGCTGGATCACAAACATTATCCACATTATAAACTAAATGTATCAAATGTGTTGGGCCAACATTGGCAAATATCACACCCTAGCTGTAAACCATAACACAATGTGCCAACCACTCTGCTTTTTTTAAGGGCAAACAAAGAAACAGAAATCACAAAATAACATTCAACTTACCTCCATTATAAGTTGGACTAGTTTGAATTTATCCTGCCTTCGAAAGAGAAGGGGACAAGGAAGAGAAAGGAGTTTGGAGGCCAACTCCACAGGTGTGGGCTCATCTTCACTCCAGGGCCTGGACATCACTGGCCGACACGCACACACTTGAGGAAACAAAGGCTCTATGCTGATGCTGAAATAAAGATTGAAAAAAAAAAAAAAAAGGAGACATGTTTGGTTTAATTTAGAATTTTATAGACTCTAGAAACATTAAAAGTGGTGATGAAGATGCATGGTTAAAATAAACTCTAGTTTTACCAACATGTGACAGCCAGGAAGAGAAAGGGAGGCAGAAAAGAACCAGGGAGGGATTGAGGAAAAGTGGGCAAACCATTCATTTGTTTCCCAAGCTTTTATTTGGATGATTGACTGATTGACATTCAACCCCACCGGGACATCACACCATGTGATAAACACCCGGTGACATAAAGTGCCATATTTGGATGATTGACTGACTGACATTCAATCCCACCAGGACATGACACCATGTGATAAACACCCGGTGACATAAAGTGCCATATTTGGATGATTGACTGACTGACATTCAATCCCACCGGGACATGACACCATGTGATAAACACTCGGTGACATAAAGTGCCATATTTGGATGACTGACTGATTGACATTCAACCCCACCGGGACATCACACCATGTGATAAACACCCGGTGACATAAAGTGCCGTATTTGGATGATTCACTGACTGACATTCAACCCCACCGGGACATCACACCATGTGATAAACACTCGGTGACATAAAGTGCTATATTTGGATGAGGATCACCCAGGGACAGGTCCCAGAAACCATGCTCAATCCGCAGGGGTTTATTAGGGCCCCTGGAACAGCTTGAGTGAGACTTTAAAATAACAAAAAATTGCGTCCCATATAGGGGTGATTTGGATTGCAAATTGACATATTCCAAAGTTTCAAGAGACAGTGAATGATCCACCAAAGCATTCTAACTTATCATTGTGATCACAATAGTGTTAATCCTTTTGCCCCAAGAAGCCACAAAACTGACACTTACGATGTGTACCAATTCCCCATAAAAGCTGCTTTTTTGACTTGCTACAGAGACACGTTCACAAGACGCCTAGCCGTCAGAATTTATTGCCTCCATGTCTGAACAATGTTCAACTTAACAAAGGTTGACTAAATTTATAAAAACAGACTTGTCCTATTTAAGAAAATGGCTTTAATTATAGAAATTTCAGTTGATTCTCTGCTGCATTTGTTTTATTGATTACTCCCCTTTCTCTCTATAGCATTTGTTAATTTGTTTAAACAATAAAATGATTTTGTTAGATTTTCCGTGTGACATGGGTAATATGATTGTTTTTCTAAGTATTTTTCTTAGGGAATATCCAGAAAATGGTCATTAGGGGAGCTTGGCTTTGTGTTTTTTTTTCTAGATCACCGGGTGAATGGGTTAATGAGAAAGACAGCCAGAAGAAGTCCAAGAGAGAAGATGGACATTTTGGGATCATTACATGGCAGAACATCTATATCAATAACCACTGACAGTACACATGACAGAAATGCAGTCAGACAAGATTATCAGATCCACATGACAGGGACTGTAACAAGGAGCAGCAGAAGAAGAAGAAGTAGAAGAATGATATAAAGCTTTTTATAACCAGAAGTGACTAAAACAAAACTGCCAATGAAACACAAATCAAATGTACTAGACCGTGAGGTTACCTGCAGTCAGCCTGCATGAAAATAGGAGTGTTGTCTATGTTCAGAGAGCTGCCCACCACAATAACCACTTCTCCATTCTCTTGCATTATCTTCACCATTTCACATGTGGCTGTAGATTAAACAACACATTCATCATCATTGTTTTGCCTGTGGGTTCCGGCATCACATTTTAAGGAGAAAATAGACTCACTGTGATTTCCCCACTCCCCCCGCCCCAAACAAGCATGTCATGATGCCACAATGTCCAACATTTTCTCTCCTAGTCCCCCTTGTGCTTCTCTCATTTTCCCCTGTCACTACATACTCTACTCTTCCCCTTCACACTATGTGCCCAAAGAATGCACATTGTCTTCTTCTAACGCTGATAATGAATTATTGTTCACAGTAACCACTGAAGTGAATTGTGAACATTCACGTGATTAATGGAAAACTAGGCAGAAACTGCAGAGATATAGTTTTACAGAAAAGTAATATGAAAACCATGGACAGATAAAAAGCAAAATGATGATGTCTTGTGAATAAAGCTTAAGGTGATCTCAGATGTGAAGAACAGCAATTTGTCTTGCTTCAATTCTTATCTGGATAAGAGGAATTTCTGATAGGAAGAATCATTTCTAGAGTCCATGGTGAGTTCTCCTTAGCAGGTCTGAACTGTATTAATAGAACTGATTATCATCATCTTGTTGGCATCATTCCAGACAAATAGTATTATATTGTGCTACAGGGAGGTGATGGTGAGTGTGACTAGCAAGATCTGCCCATGTTAAGGAAAGTCTTCCATTAGAGCATGGGATGTCAGTACCATTGTTGCTATCACACGTATTAGTGTGCTTTTTCTTGGACACTCAGCTCTCAGACATCATTACAGACTATAAGTGACACCATTCAGCTCTTCTGCATCTATCCACATGCAGTCTTTCTACTTTTATTTTGGAGGGAATCTTGTCAATGCACCTTGGATTCACTCAGAGTATGTCTCCTTCTCCTTTTGCAATCTTCTTTATGAGGAACACATTACACCAAGTTATGCAGCTCTGAGGATGATGCTCTTATCCACAACCTTCAGTTCTTTAGCATGTAGCTTCACACTGTATTCTACCTTCCTTTTGGACATACTGTTAGACTCCTGAATGTGCGCAGTACAAATCTCCCCTCCTACTCCATTCTGTCCATTCTACTTTCAGAGAATGTCGCATCAAGTTATGCAGCTATCTACCCCAGAGGTCAGGATGTCAGACTTCAGCATGCTTTGTAAAGAGTGCACTCATGACTTTCTCTAGACTCATATTCGTCAAACTGTAGTCTACGGATGTCCTAGTGGTCCACCAAAAATGTCTGCCCAATCAGGTAGTAGCTACAGGATTCAGACACTACACTGCAGATCGTGTAAATATCCATCTCTGAATTGTAAAGCTTTCAAACTGAATATAATTTTTTTTTCAAACTTGCTAGTTGTGTGAAAATACTTCTTCAGCCATGTCAGTAATTAAAGCCAAACAAACAACAGAATGAATATTACTGCAGCAATTTATCTCTCTGAAACAATGCTCCAGTCACAAATATAGATTTTTCAACTTCTAAACATATGTTGCACTAATTTTACGATATGGGATTTAAAAAATAAAATGTTTTATATATTTGTTTGTATTTCTGTCCTAGCCATCAACCGGTCTGCAAAATATTTCTCCTATTTTCAGTCCACAGGTGTAATCACGCTGAAGAATGCTTTTCTAAACAGACTCCATCCAAAGTAAATGACTCTGTTCATCCAATGGAGAGATTTTTCCCTAAACATCTTCAAGTGGTACTACAGCCTACTTTTTGCCATTTTTAACTACTTCTGGAATTTTAACATGTGCAGCCTGCGTCAAGGAACCTTTTGTTTATTCAACCTATCTTAGAAGAGCCACATATCCTTTCTCACTTCTTCTTCTTGAGTCCTGCTCTGTCTTTCAGCGTCAGGTTTTGAAGAGGCATCGGGTGCGAGTCTTGCAGTGTAAAAGCTGGTATTTATAGCCTTGGATATTCCATCTGTCGATCGCTGACATGGCTGACCTCTAGTTTTGCTTTCATTAAGTCCTAATGGCAGGACTCTCTGTGGTGCACTATCTGGTGGTAGTCTTGACACATGTCTGAACCATTTGATCTCTTTTCTCTTTAGGGAGTTTAGTACTGCTTTCATTCCAACTTCTTTCTTGACATTGTCATTTTGATCCCGTCTTTCCCATTTCACTATCCAAGAGTTTACAGACCAATAGTTTCTGGGAAGATTCCACTTCTAAGCCGGGGTTAAACCAAAATATAAGTTATTAAGTTGTAAGGATCTATTTCTCTGCATCAGGTTTTATCACATCTGGCTCAGTCTGTCTACAAAGTGACGACCCATAAAATGCTCTCTAAGATGTCACTCATGAGCCAAATAATGCAGTCCGGAAAAAAAATCTTTGACTTTCAGAGTGTGATGCACACAGTTTCACTCAATCATATTCTCAAGGTTGTTTTTTTTTTTAAATGAGGAAGTGAAAAAAAATCACACAAAATCTCCAGTCACAGCAAAATGTATCAATCTTTTTAATGGCATTTTCACGGCTTTTCTCGAGGTAACTAATTTTTTGAGATTGTGCTTTAGAAATTGTGAATTATGCATTGAGCTGAGATTTCCTTGTGTCAACAATGTGGAATACTTGTGAAATTTGTGGGCAGCAAAAGTGATACTTTACAAACTAAAAGAGCCAACAAAAAGCAACCAACTTTCAGGAACACAATCCGTGAACAAGTTCACCAGCAATGGCACATTATCGATGTTCTTCAGGTGGGGTCTAATATTCTCTATACCTCGAGGAAGATGTGCCTGGAATGAGTTGAAGTCTTTATTCTTTCCACAAAAATGTATAAAAACATTATTTACACCAAATAGTATTGTAATTTGCATGTTTCAAACACCCTAAATTCCCATATACAGACACACAAGTTTGCAGCCCCACTGGTATAAAGAGTCACTATTCAGAAGCGATTACAACCGCAGCAAATTCTAGAACCCATTGAACTGTTAAACAGTTTAAAACAGCTACATTTAGGCTCTTTAGAGTTAATAGGTAGTCTGCTTTCTTACAGGTTGCATAATACTCTACCAAATCTTAGAAATCATGCATTCTTCTTCTTTGCATTCAACGCCTGTCAACTCCAGCGGAAAGTTATGGTAATTCATCAACTTCTGGGCTTTAGCCTTGTTCTGGAACTTCAGTTCTGCATGGACATCCATTTTACAGATCTGATTTTTCGGTAAACATACCCTTGGTTTTCCACCTCTCAGGCAAATGCACTCTGATTTAGAAGAAAATGCCCCAATCAGTCAACTTTTACGACATGAGGAAACCCCCATGAGGAACATAAAACATGCATTCAGTTCAATCAATGTTGATTTAACATGCAA